GTTCTCCGCCACGTACGCGCTGTACGCCGCCTCCTCGAACACCGGCGCGTTGTCGTTCACGTCCGACACCTCCAGCACCAGCTCCCTGCTGCTCCACAGCGACGGCCTGCCCCGGTCCCGGGCCACCACCGTCACGCGCTGCTCCGACGCCTGCTCGCGGTCCAGCGCGCTCGCCGTCACCACCTTGTACGAGCCGCCCGACGACGCCACCATCGACAGCCCCGCCTCCCCCAACAGCTCGCACGACACTTGACCGTTCTCGCCGGAGTCTCTATCCCGCACTTTCAGCACGGCCACCACGGTGCCCACTGGGGCATCCTCGGGCACGGGACTGGACAGGGATAGAATGGTGATCTCGGGCGCGTTGTCATTCACGTCTGTGATGTCGATCTGCACTTCACAATGGTCGGTGAGTCCACCGCCATCTCTCGCCTCTAAACCGAAGACATATTTATTGCTCTCCTCGAAATCGAGGAGACCCGCTGTCCGAACTTCTCCACTCTCACTGTCGATAGTGAACAACGCCCTGACGGAGTCCGGGACACTTCTAAAAGAGTAGGACACTCGCCCGTTCGAGCCTGAGTCCGCATCCGTCGCCCGTACTTGCAGCACCACGGACTCCACTGGAAGATTTTCTGCCACTCGCGCCTCGTAGAGACTTTTGCTGAACACGGGCGGGTTGTCGTTGGCGTCTGTCACATTGATGCGAACCTTGATAGTCCCAGACCTCGCGGGGTCTCCACCATCCACTGCAATGAGCACTAATTCAAAGGAACTCTGCTTCTCTCTGTCCAGCGCTCTCTCCAGCACCAATTCTGGCTGATTCCGTCCTCCGGGGTTCTCCTTTAAGGCTAAACTGAACGATGGGTTGCTGGTTAGTTGGTAAGTCAGCAACGAGTTACTTCCTGCGTCAGCGTCTCGTGCCATCTCCAGAAGAAACCGGGCACCGGGAGGAGTCCATTCATCAATCTCGAGATCCAGAGCTGCCTTGATGAAGTCTGGGGAGTTGTCATTCACGTCCTCGATGGACACCTCCACACGGAAAACGTTCAGAGGGTTGTGCACCAGCGCCTCGAAGCTGACAGAGCAGGACGCCGACTCGCCGCACATCTCCTCCCGGTCCAGCCTCTCGTTCACGTACAGGTTGCCGTTCTCCTCATTCACCGTGAAGTATTGCTTCTCGTCGCTCAGCCGCAGCTTGCGCGCCGGCAGCTCGTCCGCGCTGAGCCCCAGGTCCCGCGCCAGCGGCCCCACGAGCGAGCCTCTGCCCAGCTCCTCGGGGATGGCGTAGCGGAGCCGCTCGGCCGCCGCCCGCCACCCCACGCACAGCAGCACCGCGGCCAGCAAAGCGACCCGCCCAGCGCCTGCCCAGCCCTGAGCTGCCGATCTGACCTCCATTCCCTGCTTTCCTGAAGGGTATTCAGCGGATGGTTTAAAATTAGGCTTTCCGGGTAGCTGGACCAGTATCCGAGAGAAATAAATACATGAAATCCCTGTTGCCGGTCGGAGGACGGGATGAGTGGAGGGGTTCCTGCTTTTCCCTCTGCTCTGAGCAGTGCGGAGCAGGGCTATGCGGGCACCGGGGAGGAGCCGACGTCCGAGCAGTTTCTCCGCCTAAGCCAACAGTGACACCCTGAGTCCGTGTCGGAGAACCGCAGCGTCCAAGAGAAAGATCAGCCAGAAGGTCCCGCTCTGCACTCCATTGCATCGGGAAGGATTGGAAAATACAGATGTTTTCAGCAGCGAGCAACAGAAAATCCCTATCACTACTGAAACCGTGCGACTAGGAATTCCCAGACTTGCAAGTCTGTCGGACAGATCCTCCCCCGTTTCTTTAGAGATGTGGGGCAGGACCTTGGTCTCTGCCCCATTGTCAGCTTACTGATCTCTTGGTTGGGGAGCTCGGAGTCGCCGCTGTCATCGTACCACCTCCGTGAGGGAAAAGGCAAGGTGGATCGAACCCTGAAATGCTGCTCGTGGTAGTGGGTTTATTCACGATAGCTGAGAGATCCCCAGCTAACACTAACCTTTCCAGCTTTGAATAGTGGTTGTTGATGGAGAAGAGAAAATGGGAATATCAGGTGCTGAGAACACCAGAGCGGTCACATCAGACCTGATCCCATCTCTTTCTACATTCAAAGCTCAGCATCATCTTATCAGTACCCATACAACCCAACCCCGAATTCCTCTTTTGTGTGTATCCCACAAACCACTCCCTGATACCCTAAACATGCTGATACTGGTCTCAGGCGTTAAAGAGCAATTCCTGGGAAATGTCGGCGGCATCTATGGTTGTTTGAACAACCAAGAGTAAACAGATTCCTTAGGAAAAGCTGTTTTACCTTACCTGTAAATTAGAACAGCATCTCTCTTACGGTAAAGAAAAAAATCGCCAAACCCACAAACAAAATAATAACGAGGCTGTATATTATAAGCCTTATATTATTGTATATAATAATAATAAGGCTGTATATTATCACAGCCCATTATGCAGAAGATAAAGTGAGGTTAGAAAACATTCCACACTATCTACTCGATGGAGTTGCTCTGGCACATTCTGCAGTCCTAGGTGTCCGAGATGCCAATATCAAGATTTCCTCCCCGGATCAGTAATGTCTTGTTGGAAAACAGGATTTCCTGCTAACTGTGGTTGTTCATCTAGGATAGAATAATGCCCTTACCTCCAGCTGAACCTTATACACAACTTAGGGTAGTAAATTAACATTCTGTCACAACAAGACTTGGATTTGAATTTGTAATGTCTCAGAAGCCGTGCAAGATTGTGAGCGTCTCCACAAGATGTAGAGAGATGGGTATGGCTGTCTACACCGGGGAATTGTGTTGAAATACGTTGCAGTCAACTCAGTGCCTCCTATATGGCGAGAATTGCCTGTAACAACCCAGACACATGTTTTGATGTATCACACACAGAAACACAGTCCAAATCCGTGTTTTCAAGATTAACTCGCATTCCAGAATTAGATACATTATAAATAGTGATGAATCTTATTATAGTGATGAATCGTACTTTGCATTTAAGTATTTTTTAATATAGATTCTAGTAAATATATTTTATTTCGATGACTATGCCTGCACACTAATCGATAACTACAATTGTATTGAATCCATAGGTTAAGTCATGAAACCCAGCAGTGGCAAAAGAACTCCATCAGAGGAATTCTTCACCATTTAAAACTAATCTCTTCAAATGCGCTTCAGAGGAATTAAATAATTCGTTTGTTGAAGGACGAATGTGGAAGAAATCGGGCACTTCAAAGTGTCAGCTTTCAAGGTACAAGGTCCCTGAATTCAACCAGAATTTCAGAGATGATACAGGGGATTACAATGAAATGCTGGGAACTGGGAGCTAGCAAGTATTTAAATAATTTTAAAGCATGGTAGATCAAGAGAATGAGATTTCCTGGTTAAGTTGCATATGCAACAGAGCCTCACAGCCTTGGGGAAAGCTTGATAAAAAGAGCTCTGGTAAGTGGTAGAGAACATGACACCTAAAGCACACAAGGCAGACTCATCACGCATTCAGGAGATGGCATTCATGAGTGGGTGACTATCCTAAAACCTGGTTTCCAAGACTGTGAATCATCTGTGGCTACCCTAAGAATCCTAAACAGCGCGTCCACTAAATATAAATTAAAAATTAACGCACCTGAAAGGCAACTTGCCCACCGCTTTCAGTAACTTGATCACCTGAAGGGACAAGATGACCCGAAGCCTCATCTGGTGGTCGAGCCGGGAGGGTGTCGCAGCAGCTGGCGGCCGAGAAGCGCAGCTGGCTCTTGCGCGAGTCGGCCGTGAGCGACACGTCGTGCGAGTAGGACTGCAGGAAGGCGCGCACGCCGTCGATGCCCACGAAGTGCGACACGGGCACGCCGCGCAAGGCGCCGCTCTGGGCCGGCAGCAGGTGCTGGCGGCGCCAGCGGCGCAGGCGCAGCGCCAGCAGCAGCAGCAGGAAGGCGAGGAAG